AAGAACCAGGCCCTGCTTCAGGAATCCAATGGAAGAGAGGGAGGAGGAAATAGATGAGCAAGGGAGGTCAAAATCATGATGGAGAAATCTACAGAGATAGCTGAATCAAATTTGTAGAAACTCATGAACTCTAGACCTACAGCAGTATACTCCAGGGGACTGAACTAGGCCCTCCATATGTAGGAGACAATTATGAAGCCTGGAGTATCAGAGGGGCTCCTGGCAGTAGGACCATGACACAAACCTGGAACATGAGCTAACTTGTTGGAGCCCATTCCCTGTGATGGGATGCCATGCTCAGCCTTAATGCATGGCAGAGGGGCTTGGCCCTGCCCCAACCTATTGTCAGACTGTATTAACCCCTCATGATAGCCCTTAACAGTGAAGAGGAGTGGACTGGGGGTGGGCTGGATGAAAGGTGATGGGGAGCAGGAGGAGGAGTGGGAGAGAACTGTGGTTAAAATGTATAATGAAATTTAAAACAACAAATAAATTATGAAAAAATCAATGTTTAAGCCATATCATATCAACACAAAAATATAATAAAAAAATAATCACTGTAAATACTCATGTGTATTTTATATCTATAAAATACAATACAAAGAGATTTAGACACAAAATTCATGTCAAAATTTAATAATAAAGCTAGCTTCTGTGAATGTGAGATATCAAGGGTCACTCTGACAGCATCTACAATCACCTAGAAGATGAATTTCTGGATTTGTCTGTGAAGGAGTGTTTAGTTTACATTACTTGAAGTGGGAAGATGCACCCTAAGTGTGAGCAACCCCATTCTGTTGGCCGTAACCCAGAACGAATAAAACTGGGAAGGTTCTAAACTGCAGATACAGTGTGACCATCTGCGGAAACATCTTGCTGCTATGCTTTCCCTACCATGATGAGCAGAATCCTCAGACTGTGAGCCACAGTGAACCCTACTTTTTTTTATTTGATTCCTCAAGTACCCTGACATAATAATTTAAAGATTAGTAAGCTTCCTGGGGATCAAACAACAATAACAACAAAATGTCTGGACTTGTTTGAAGACATATTAATCAGCCTTCAATACCATAGAATGGAAGAGCAAAAACCTCATATTCTTTTATATACATTCCCCACTAGATTTCCGGTATCAGTTACCTGTTTCTTCCTGTAGGTACTATTTTCTTTATTCTATGTGTCTTTTGCATCATGTATCTTGATCCCATTCATTTCCCTGCCCCTTCACATCTGCCCTCCACCCCTGTACACCCACCAAACAAAACAAAATTTAAGGGAAAAAAATAAAAACGGGAAAAACTTTAAAGTCTTGTCATTGAAGCTGCAGTGAGATACAGTGAACCACACCATAAACACCTTTGTTCATGGGTCTTTACTCGAAAATGTTCATTGCAAAGGGTCATTGGTCTGATTCAAGGCCTCTGGTTTCTACTACCCTATTTATGCTGGGCTCTTGATAAAGGCTCCTCCTGGATATCCTGTTGTTCTGTGTTGTGGAGATCCTGCAGCTTTGGGTCTGAGGTCAGGTCCCTTCACGTGCTCCAGGAGATCCTACACGACGCAGGCCGAATCACATCCTGGGGTCTGGGCCTGGGTAGCTGTAAGGTTGATGAGCCAGGTGTGAAACTGGGACAGCTCTTCCGTGATTACAACTTCGGAGCTGGCTCACCCACACTTGTGCTAACAGGGTTGGCTCTGTTGGCCTTCCCTGGCAAGGCGTAGGGACTCCTCGCCTGAGTGTTGTAGCTGGTGGGGGTCAGGGATAGTTCTCTCACTCTTATGACCACAGGGCCACCTCTCCTACCTGACTCAGGTATTGATGGGTAGGAGGGAGGGCTTGAATCCCAGGGCGACGCTACCAGAATACAGATGAGAATTGGGAAGAGCTCTCCCTTGCTCACAATTTCTGGCCTGGCTCACCCACACCTGAGTTAACAGAATTGTTTCTATTGTGGTGCCCTGGTGAGGCACAGGGCATGTTCCACCCACTGTTGTAGCTGGTAGGGATACAGGACAGCTCTTCTGCTTTTATGACGAAGAGTCAGCTCAGCTCTACCACCTACCCCAGGTTTTGATGGGTGGGGTTCTACCCGCCCATGTTGCCACCAAACAGACGGGTAATGAGAACAGTGCCCCCATACTCACAATTTCAGGACTGGCTCAACCACACCCACTCTAGCAGGGGTGGCTCTATTGTGCTGCCCTGGCAAAGTGTTAGGCCTTCTCTCCTACGTGTTGCAGGTTATGTGGAGCAGGGACAGCTCTCCCTCTTTTGTTACCTCAAGGTTAAATCTCCTTCCTGTCTCAGATATTGATGGGTGGCAACTGAGGAAGGGCATTTCTCCCCAGCCCGGGCTGCTTTGTGGGAGATGGGAGGTGGGTCTGAGACTCCCATGGTCAAATTCTCAGTGTTGGTTCCCGTGTGCTCTCATCAACAGGGTCATCTCTTCTGTGCTACCCAGACAAGATTTTCCATGTGCTGCTCATGGTCAAGGGGTCACTTCCCTCACCATCTCAGCCCACTTCCTTCTCTCATCTCTTCAGATATGTCTCTTCCACAGTAACCGAACAATTCTCTCTCTGTCTGTCTCTGTCTCTGTCACTCCCTCCATTCCTACCCTCTCCCGTCCTCTCCCATAATCCACTAGACCATACCTCTGCTCATGCTAATAGTGTCCATCTAGCTGGTGCTTCAAGGTAGCAGGTGAGCCCTTGTTTTCCTCTTGGGGCCTAAATTGGGTAACCCCAGGCCTCCTAGTAGATCATCTTGTCCCACTCAGGTCACCCTGGTGGTGTGCTGAGCCAGGCTTACTGATCACAAAGAAGTCATTATAATTCCCAACTGCACAGCCCTGTAAGCTCCTGGCTGATGTGATTGACTTGTGTGGCATGGCGTAAGAGGGTTTCTATGGAGTCTGGTCAGAAGCTGGGGGTTAGGATGCCCCACCAACTGTGGTTGGTTGGATCCACCCATCCTACAGATATTTTACTTGAAAGAGCCTCTCTATTGCAAGAGCCATTCTTTTTTGTTCTCTGATGACATCTTCATGCACCAAGAAATACATTAAATGTCTCAGAACCTCAGCTTCTACCCATGAGAAACCCTAGCACACAGATGTGAGTCCTAAAACATTAGAGGTGCACAAATGATGAAGTACATAAATACTAAAGCATCCTCCTTTAATGGCTATGAACCTCAGCGTCTACACATGAGAAACAGTACCACATGAATGTGACTCCTAAAACGTTAGGGGTACACAAATGAAAAAGTGCATAAATACTGAAACATCCTCCTTTAATAGCTATATATTACACATATGCTGTGTATATGTGTGTATAGATATATGCATTTGTTTCTCATTGTTATATCTCCAAAATTCACACAAAGAGTATGCTTAACCCTTATTTTTTAAATTAATGAATAAATATGATTTATTAGAAGAGAAAACCTAACTGACCAGAAACCACCAGCCTGATAAGATTTGTTTGAGAAAATAAGCCTTTTTTTTTTTCTAAATATTCCCATTATTCTCTCTCAGTTGTTGAGCTCGGTACCCTTCTCTTCATCAAACTTGTTCATCTTTAATTGTCCAATTATTTGATTACATTTATATATTTCACTTAGGATACACCTTGCTGTACAGTTAAAGCAAAGTACCTTCTTAAAAAAAGTTTATGTTAAAAACATAGATCTGGAGAGTGCCAGCCTACAATCCCATGGCCAGAGAGTCTGGGAAACAGAACCTTCATTCAGTGGCTGATGGAAGAAGAGGCAGACTCCCATGGCTAAGCACTGAACTGAACTCAAGAAATCCAGTGACACAGAGGGAGGACTGAGCAAAGTGGTTAAGACTGGGCTGGTTTAACCCCCAGAAACAGCTGACCTGACAAGGGTTAGCTCTTGAATCCCAGACTGATGCCTGGGAATCCAGCACGGGACTGATCAAAACTCCCTGAATGCGGGTGTCAGTGTGGAGGCCTAGGTAATCTATTGAGCCTTGGGTAGTAGATCAGTATTTATCCCAGGTATACAAATGGACTTTGGACTCCCATCCAACAATTAGAGATGCACTCTCACCCTGAACTCTTGGGGGAGTGGCTAGGCCCTGTCCTGGATGAAATGACAGAATATGGACACCCCTATGGAGGGTCTCACCCTCCCTGGGGAAATGAGGGGATATTTGGGGGGTTGGTGGGAGGGCACAGGAGGAGGGGAGGGAAAGGGAGAGGTACCTGGAATTGACATGTGAAGCAACCTTGCTTCTAATTTAAATTTAAATTTAAGAAAAAAATATCTAAAAAAATACCACTCTAAGTCACTCCAAGTTTATATTCCTGTGGTAGCCTAATATTTTCTACCTTCAAAGAATACATGTGAACAGTCACATAAGTAAAACAAGAATATGAATTTCCTCACTGTTATATTCAATTAAGACACTGTTGTGATTCAGTGCTTGTGGGCATAAGCACTAAAATAGATTGTATTGCATATATAACAACTACATAGAAAAATATGTGTTTCCAGGGACAGACATGTTCAAAGAATTATTATTATATTAAGTGACATAGGAAACTTGGGAAAGACTAACAAATTTCTTTAACAAATTTATATTATATATGAAAAATTGGGCTAAATATATGTTCAAGTCAACATGTCAGTTCCTAACATGTTCTTGACTGTGAAGTTGTTCACTTACATTTAATAATCCACATATACCTACATGCACATATGTTCCATGTATTATTCAATGAATGTATTAAAATTACAGAAAGGTTGTTTAGGGACAGAAAACATTACATTATGTTGATACTAGTAGTTTTAATATAAGGTCTATGTTCACATCATTCCTTATATACAATATACATCCTTTCTTATTTCCTCTACAACTGCAATATGTTTGGACAGTGTTTTATATACACAGAATTTTGTGAAATTCAGTTCCAACTAAAGGATAAACAGAAATAACAAATATAAATATGTAGAATATCGCACAAAGAGGTCATCCTCTAGAATATGGAAGACAATCTCTTATATGTTCTAAGAAGTCAAGAACTTCTGCATCCTTTAGCCTGCACCTCATCCACAACATCATGGAAAGAAATGCTTGTCTCAGCTTACTGTTTCCCAGAATCAAGACACATGAATGGCCTGAGGGAAAGACAAGTCCAGCATCCAATAAAATCAAATTAGATGGATTTCTATGATGAGTTTTACTTTTCCAAGACTGAAAAGCAAGTGCCACAAAGAAAACAGTATATAGCAAAAGGAAAGCAACCACCGTTTCGAGAGTCTTTATGTGGGCTGTGATGCTAATGTCTTTGGAACATTTGGAGTAGTTTTGAATGTTCTTCAAATGTCTCCACAGGGAGAAGATAAGCAAGATGAAAATGATCAAGGACACAGTGAAGGGTATGAGTGTGAACATAGTGTTGGTGAGGAAAACAAGTTTAGAAAGCTGTGCAACATTACTTGCGATAGAACTGTGGGATGTATTCGACTTACATTGACCAATCCAGACACCTATGTGTGTGTTTATAACTACAACATTTACAAACAGGATGATCAGAGACACTGAGAGTGTCACTAAAACCACAGTTTTAACTCTCCACTTTAGGTAAAGTATAAGGGAGCTTGAGAAATTAGCTATCTTGAGAAAATAAAAAATGCTGAGACATGTAGCAAGCCAGATACTAAAGTGATTGGTCAGTATCCAGGAAGCATTAGTTATTCTGATCATTTTCTCAGTTGTTGTTAGAGCTGGGTACAGATCAGATATCAAGAAAATTATGAGTAGCAACAATAGAAAAGCAAATCTGGAAATGGCCAGAGCAGTAACGATCTGATCCACAGCAGAGATCTTGCCTTTCTTCACCCAGTCCATGATGTTCACCAGTGCCATGAATGTATTTCCTAAAATTCCTGTGGCAAACTCCACGCTAAAAATGATTAATAATGTGGTCTGTGTGACGGTACTCATCTTCAAGAAAAGGATGCTTCAATTTCTACTGCACTGCTGAAGCCTTAGAAATGCAATCCTCTTGTAAAATGGTTTTCTCACGCTTGAAATTGCATAACAGACTCAGTGCTGTGAACATTAAAATTCATTCATGACTTGGTTCACAGTTTTCTTCACAGGAATAATGTATTGTCTAAGGCATTCCAGCTTAGCTTCTTGCAGGTACTGTGTATCATATACACAAGAATCCAGCTTCTTGTAGATTGTTATGAGGAAAACATCAAATCCCCATGTACTACCAATAAAATAAAGATATATTTACTTCTATTGTTTTTCCAGTTTGCACATTGAATATTGACTACCAACTACTAATTTCTGGACCAGCAAAACTATACGATTTAACTCACTTAGAAGACAATAAATTTTTTAAATTAGTAAATGAAGCAAGAAGTTTATTAAACACATAAAAAATGTGTATATATAGGAGCCTGTAATGGTCTACAAAGTTTGTTCTACTACTCATCTAAGAATATTATTCCATAAATACCTATACTGAGAAAATTGATCATTTGTCTTTTAATGCATATACATAAATGTACAATATCCACTAATTCATGAATGTAAATATATTTAGATTGCACACCCTTCATTCTCATTTCATTAACTCATATCTATCATTAACATTTATTTTGCATCTAAATCATGCTTAGTACTGTGATAATTACTAAGATAAGGCATAAAATTGCTTTCAAGTATAATTTGCACATAATGTTCGCTAGTAACTATTTTATCTGTGCATGCACAAAATTTGGAAATATTTTTCTTGTTCTACTAAATAGACAATAAACTCACCTAAATTTACCTATACAACAAGAGTCCTTTTCATTCTCTGTGTCTCCCTTGTTCATACATCTGTTTCTCCAACAGCACCAAGGAGCTTCCGATGCTATTCATTTCCTTTCAATTTGCTCCAAAATCTACTCCATTTCTTTTAGTGTAGGTATCAGAGCAGATGAGGGATGTTTAGACAACCCAGGATATATAAAGGCTGACTTGATAACATCCTTCAGGAGCTGGCAGATAGTCAAAGAATCCATGACAAAGTAGAACAAAATGATTGAGGACACTAGAAAAAAATGTAACAAAACCATGTAACTGTTGTAGTGATTCACACTTGTAATTGCAGTCTAGTGCTGAAGAAGCTAACACGGGAGGAAAACATGTTTGAATTCAGCATAAGTTATGTGGTGATATCCTGTCTCAAAGCAGCAACATAAATGTTTAGATTTCACAAAGAAAAACATGCTGTTTTACATGTGGAAGATGTGGAAGATTACACAATAATCTATATCCTCTGAAGCAACACTGAACCAAGAAAGTGAGCCCAAACTACCTTCAAATTTCTCACAAAAGCCCAACATTTGAAGAAAAGATATACTGGGAACATAAGCTAGTACAGCTATTGAAAGTCTTAAGGGTAATTGATAAAAATAGAAGCATGAGCATACCATCATGGCAGCAACAGGAAGGCCCTTCTGGCCTGGATCCTTCCACAAAGCAGAACGGAAGAAAAACACAAAGGATTGCAAAGCACCCTGGGGTGGGGCTGCATGGAGTGGATGTAGGTGTATCAACCCCACAGTCTCTTGGAACAGTGACAGAAATTACATCTGCTGGGAAAGAAGGACACTCCCTCTCCATCTTCCACTTCCAGATAAAAAATACCTTAGGTTGTACCTAAACAGGAATTCCTAAGCAGACATTCTTTCACCAATGTTTCTCTTTTACATTTTACAAGATTTATATTCTCTTCCTCTTTAATTATTACTCTTACGTATGTACATTTGAATACGACTAAATGAATTTGTTGTATGTTGTTCATGTGTATATATGTTTAGGACTGATCACTTGAAATTGTATCTTCCTGGAGAAGACTGATTCTCTCTCTGGGAAGCCATTAATTGTAGTTCTTCATCTGTGACTGGGGCCTTGTGAGATTCCATACCTCATCCACCTTGGGATATTAAGTGGTATTGTAATTAAGCAGAACTTGATTAGATGAACATGTTTTTGAGATTTCATCCATGTAGCTTTCCTTTCATATGCAAAAGACACTATCCTGAAGCAGATTTCTTGATCCTCTGGTTCCTACAAGCTTTTTTTTTAAACCATCTCTTATGCAATGTTTACTGAACTTTTGGTATAGGGGTTGTGTTGTAGATGTATTTATTGGGGATAATCACTCAATGATCAGCTGTTTCCTAGATTTTTTAAGTTATGTTATTTTGTCCTACAGAATAGGTAGATATATTTTAGACACTGATAAATGAAGATGATATGAGTCTATTTATATAGATAGTTGATAGATGATGATGGTGAGAGTAGATAGATAGATAGATAGATAGATAGATAGATGTATATATACATGCATACAAATAGATGTGATGAATGAACTTATGGAACTATTTAGCTATGTTCTCATAGGAACCTGTATGAGGTCTCCAACAAGGCCAGCATAACACAACTCCTACAATTTATGAAATTGACTCTTTGCTTCCCCTTATGTTTATATTTTGTGAGACAGGTAAAACTAGCAATCGATTGAGTATTATGCTCAGTGATCAAAGTTGTAAACCAGGAGAGGACAGTGTCCTGGAAATAAGTATCCTCCAGTCCTCCTGAGCAAAGAAAGATGAACATGAGCACAGACTATACAGACTCTCCAATTATCCTATCAAGGTCAAAGTCATGGAAGTGGTGAGAGCAACAGCCTAACAACTGGTTTCATTAGCAAATAACCAAATACTATTGATTGCCTGAAAAAATAAATAGATGGACTATATAATAAAATTAAGGTCAGCCTCATATGCATAATTAAAACTTCTCTCAAAAAAGCAAGGACTAAGAGAAGAGAGAGAGAGATAAAGAGAAAAATAGAAAGAGACACAGGAAGACAGAGACAGATAGATAGACAGAGAGGGAAAAAGAGACAGAGAAGCTGAGAGTTTTTCTTGGGTTTCTCCTTGAAAAAATGTGTTCAAATCCGTTATTCTGCTAATTAATTGAACCAGAGATTAAGGATGTCTACATTTCCTTGATAAAAGACCTTGACTAGCCAAGACATTGTATATCAAGCCTGGTGAAGTATTTGCGCAGTGTTCTTGAGAAACTATATAGAAGAAAATAACTAAAGAGAGTAAAATTCCACATTCTCTAGAAGTACAGGAATGTACATTCAAATGACAGGTATTTGGGGACTTAAAGAAAATCTATGGATTAAGTTGCAGCTTTAACTCATATCCAGCCTACAGTGTTCTATCAGGTTTGGAGTTATTTGTATAGTGCTGAATGTAGCCTTGAAATGCATAGATATGGCTACTGGTTAAAGAGTTACTGTGGTGGTTTGAATGAAAATGCCCCCCCTGTAGAATCATGGGGAGTGGCTTTATTTGAGTGTGGCCTTGTTGGAATAGGTGCATCTTATGGGGACATCTGTTACATAAGGGGTGGGCATCAGTACTCAAGTCATGCCCACCGACACTCTCTTTCCCTGCTGCCTGTGGATCCAGATGTTGAACTCTCTGCTCCTTCTCCATCACCCTGTCTGACTACATGCTGTCATACTTCCTCGAATGATAACAGACCAGACTAAACTTCTGAACTATAAGCCAGCAACAATTTAATATTTTCCCTTATAAGAGTTCCATGGTTAGGGTGTCTCTTCACAGCAATAAACATCCTAACTAAGACAGAAATTGGTACCAGAAACTGGGGTATTGCTGTGATAGGCCACAAAATGTTTTTGTTTGGAGAAATATGGAACACTTTGGGACTTTGTCCTAGAAAAACAATTGTACACTTCAAGCAGAGTTTAATGGGACATACTAGTTAGAAACATGGAAGACAGTGGTGCTGAGGGTGATTTGAGCAATGGGGACCCAACTCCAGAGGTTTCAGAAGATAAAAATTAGTGTGTGGTGTAGATTCTGGTCTGTCATATTTTGGTGAAGAACATGGCTGCTTTCTGCCCTTGTCCAATTAAAAATACAAAATGTACTGTTGGAAGAGGAAAAGAGCACCTGGAAGTGTAAACAGATTAAAGGAAAGCCTGATGCTAAATAGAATAAAGGGAGAAAGTGCTGATTTCAGAACAGGACTCCATCCAGCTGAATTTCCAACTTGTGAAAAGGAATTAAGGAAAAGTGAAAAGGAATTAAAGAAAAGCTTAGAACCAAACATAGTGGTCCTTTAATCATGGTACCTTTAATCTCAACACTCAGAAGGCAGATGCTGGTGAATCTCTGAGTTAAAGGCCAGCCTGATTTACTGAGCAAGATTCACAACAGTCAAGCTTAGTCAGTGAAGGAAACCATTTAAAAGAGAAATCTGGTGAATGAGGGGGTCATGTTTCTGCTCTAACTAGCAGCAGAACTTGGCAGTTGTGGTCATATGGTTCTGGTTTTGGAGTCAAGGATAGAAGAAAGAGGTTATGGCATCTCCTTATGTCACTAAGAAAAGCTGCTGAGGCCAGGTGTGTGATAGGGCTGTCCTTCTGTGGAGGTCTAGAGAGCTTATGTGAAGCTCTGAAAGCGAAGACTGGATTATTTTGAAGATCTCAAAATGTTTGAGATGTCAAACCATGGAAACCTGCAGGTGAGAGCTGCTAACAGGGAGTGGAACCAGCCCAAGAGAAAGAACTGTATTTCAGTCAACAAAGCTGAAAGGAGTTGGAGATCCTAAGACTGCTTTGACATCAGACATGGAAACACAGAGGTTGGAGTTTGCCAGCTGATTTTCAGTCTTGTTTCTATTCAGTATTACATCACTATGCTCCCTTCCCTCTCTTTTGGAACAGTCATGTTTACTCTGTGCCATTGTATGTTGGAAGTATATTATTTGCTTTTTATTATGATTTTACAGAGGTTAAACTTAGGCGATTGCCATGAGTCTCTGAAGAGACTTTGGACTTTAAAGCAGGGTTGGAATTGATAAAAATCTCTGGGGGCTTTTCAAGTTGGAAA